GGACTGGCATCCCGTCCAGGGCGTCCCCCAGCCCTGTGTCCTCTGATGGACTGGCGTCCAGGGCGTCCCCCAGCCCTGTGTCCTCTGATGGACTGGCGTCCAGGGCGTCCCCCAATATATATTATATACTCTTTTTTCTACAATGTTAGCATGCCCAGGGGGGTTGGACAGCCAGTTGACCTTGGACCTCCCACAGTTTTTTTTTCTCCCTACATGGGAATTTTGGTTCCTCTCCTCTGTTGTCATCTGGCTTTCTTTCTTTATCTTTCCTTGTCCTTGTTTTTGAATCGTTCTGCATAAATGATGCAGGAATGTATTACGACAAACCCATGTGAAGCGCTTTGGGGTGACTCAGTTTTGAAAGGCGCTATATAGATTGAAATTGAACTGAACATAGATGACAGACCACATGTATAGTTAAGATCGTGCTCATCGTCACATACAGGCCATCAAGCAAAACAGGCTGTGATGACATGTGAAATTCATCTGAAAAGAGGCTTGCTGAAAAAAATCATGGTACAATGTTCTCAGAAGAATCGCTTCTTGTTTAATCACAAAAGTTTGGAGGTTGCAATCGGGATTTGTGCACATACAGTTCCGTGCAGTGGTTGAACACTCTTAAATGACAAAGTTCAATGCCATTCAAAAGTTTGGGGTCACCTAGAAATTTCCTTGTTTCCAAAAGAAAAGTAATTTTTGTCTATTAAAATAGCATCAAGTTAATCAGAAACACGGTGTACACACTGTTAATGTTGTAAATGACTACTGTAGCTGGAAGTGGAATATCTACATTGGCCAATTATCAGCAACCGTCAGTCCTGTATTCCAATGACACATTCTGTTTGCGAATCCAAGTTGGATCATTAGAAATCCGTTCATGTTAGCACAGCTGAAAACTGTTGTGCTGATTAAAGAAGCAATAAAATTGGCCTTCTTTAGATTAATTGAGTATCTGGAATATCAGCAATTGTGGGTTTGATTGAAGACTCAGAATGGCCAGAAACAAAGATCTTTCTACTGAAACCCAGCTGTCTGTTATGGTTCTGAGAAACAAAGGTTATTCCATGGGAAATTTAAGTAACCCCAAACTTTTGAGAGGCAGTGTACGCGAAATCAAAATTACAAAGCAGATTAAGTCTTTAATGAGGAGTGTCATGATGGCCTCCGCGAAAAACCCATCAATATTCGGGGGGGGGGGGGTCCCCATCTCCCTATTGTTGCGCAATACCGATCTTGAGACCCCCTTAAAATTTTGCTTTTGAGGCTTTCAAGGGGTCTCATGGGTTAATCAGGGGTGTCAGACCCCCCCGTATTTCACACACTGGCCTCCGTGCATCCAGTTTGGGGACTTTGCATGTTCTCCCCGTGTTGAGCTGGTTTCAGACAACATTCAGTTAATCTCTGAATCCCTCCTAATGTTTCATTTAGACATATTACATAACGCATACTACTCTGATTTACTACAGTGAAGTTAAATATAAATGTAAAAATGGTTGAAAAGTAGAAATAATGAATATGTAATACATGTCACTGACATAAAAGCATACAGGTGCATGCTTATTACATTCTGAAACCTGTACAACAACAAATCACAAGGAACCTTTTCTGTGCATGTTTGCAATAAAATTAAACTTATATACAATCTGCATCTTTTGATGGCAGGAGTAGCCTACAGCATATTCATATATGTTGTATACTTGCCATCAATAGTTGAATTAACTTTCTCACTTTGTCTAGCACGTGATGCATTAGCATTAGAGGTTATTCTTACCGTCATTTTGACTGAGCTCGTTAAGTAGCCTACAAACTGTTGCCTCCCTCATAATCGTTTTACACAACTGCACTGCCACGTGTGAATAGCCTTGACGTAAGAGCGCAAATAAATCTAAATATCCTAAAATCGTTAAAATCTTACAATCCCTATAAATATTCAAATCTTAGCAGACCGATTAAATAAGTATATATTTTCAGCATGATTACCACTGACAAACTGACTAATAATGATGTGTGTTTTTTTTCTCTCCATGTGCATTAAATAAAGTTTCGTAATGATTGGACCGGTCTGCCCCCGCTTCGCCAGAGCAAACGCACATTATACAGATGCGCAGCTTTCTCCGCTCCTGAATCATTGCGGAACAGCGCATTTCTGCATACAATATAAACACCTCCCCGCTCCACGCGACTTTACTGTCGGCATTTTGAATTATATTTTTCTGGTTTTACGTTTGCATCTCCGTTTACATTTTATACTTTTAAAAAGAATTGAAAAAACAAATGAATGGCACTGGCTCACCTGATGAACGCTGGATGCTATTAAAATGCACGGCAGGAGCCAAGTCATAACTATAAACCAGTGTTAAATTCATTGAAGCCAGACTCCGATTCTTGTAAGAATAAATAAAACGTGTCGCTTTACTGTAGTTTAAAGCATGCTGGAGTCTGCCTCCCCGGTGACAGCCTCCTCGGCTTTAGTGAAGTCCTTACTCCCGGTTCCCTTTGAGGACGGTACCCGAGGCTCTGCTGGAGCGGTCCGCCTGGCTTGCTGTCTCCCTGATCCCCGCCTACATTTGAGCACCGCGGAAACGGCTCCTTAAAAGGAAACCCGTCGCGACGGGAAGCGAAATTATGATATTATTTCCACACCCTGGCCAAACGTCTCGAACGTTTACAACGGCGCCGTCAGCACACGGAATGAATTAATTGCGAAATTTCACGTTAACAGAACAGAATGTGCATGCGTTTCTAGTCACTGCATCAACACATATGGGCCTAACTCACAGATTATATAACAAAATTTATTTTAATGTTTTGTTTAATGCTGTTCAAAGGTGTCCATTGGTTTGCAATATTGTTTGGATTTGCATAATTACTTAATGATATGAGAAGTTGTCACCCTGGGTTGTTCCCTGCCTTGAACCCATAGCCTCTGGGTTCGGCTCCAGACCACCTGTGACCCTGAATAGGATATGCAGTTACAGAAGATGGATGGATGAGATAAAGTCAAATAGTATGTAAAATGGCACGAATAAGGATTGTGTCACGCCCTGCATCCCTGCCGCTCTCGTTCTCTTCCCAGTCTGGCACCTGTTGCTAATTTGTCTTACCTCACATTTCAGCCCTCGTGTGACACTCCGGCTGCCTCTCGTCTGCTTCCCCGTTAGTCATGTATAAAAGTGCCTTCTAGGTCTGCACTCCCCAGTCTGGTCATTGATGTCATCTTAGTGTGTGTGTTTGCTCCACTGCCTTCTCTCTAGCAAGTTGTGCCTGTTTGACCCCTTGTGGTCTGTTTCCTTTGACTGGTTCCTGTTCTTTCAGTAAACCCATGGTTTGCCCTTATGCCTGTTCCTGTCTCCTCTGTGTTCCGTCGTGACAGATTGTTGTACACTGGGAGACATTTGAGGCTTTAAGTGGCCGGCACAGAAACGTTTCCTGAGTGCTTTCTTTTAGCCAGTCCCATTTTTCATAGGGATCAGTGCTGTGTTCTTCCACACCAATGGTAAACATCATCCTCACAATGTGTGTGTATTGCATGTATTGGGCTGGGGAATGAAATGTTACAATGAAATGTAACTCTTTAGGTATAAAGATTATGTCAATTTTGGTCTGATTCAACGATTTTCAAAAAATCATTCTCCCCAAATAGGTAGCCAAAAATCTCATTAACGATTGCTGTCTTTCTGATCCGGCTCTGCCCATAGACTCCATGTTTGTCTTTTCTCATGGTCACTAGTTTGCTCTACGCCTGTTTACTGACGTCTGTGCTGCCTGACTTTGATTGCTGACTCTGTTTTGCCATGCTGGATCAGTTGGTATAGATCCACAAGTGCGTCTCTTTCCCAGCATCTCCTCTCAGAAGATATCACTGAAGATGGTCTCAACTGGTGGAGGCTCTGGGGAAGTGAGGCACCAGACTCAGCTGCCATTATCAAATCATTGGAATCATTCAGTGCTGGAGTGATTGAGCTTGTCGCACAGGGACAACAGTAACACCAAGTTCACCCCACTGCCGCTTCGTCTTCCCACTGCAGCAACCTACTATAAATACAGAATGGAGGGTGCCTGCAAACTGGTGCAACTTTGCCAAGGGAGCCTGTTCAGTTTCAGAATATGATCATCTTCCCACCTTGGCTATGACTAGCTCCCATGCCTTTGCACTGCTCTGTTCCCAGAACCTCCTTAACTTAATATCAAGTATTTGAAGGGTTACCAGGCTAGATGGTGACTGTTCTTGTTTTAACTTTTAGATTGCCTACAGATGCAGCTCCAACAACCTCAATGAAATGTTTTGTCTTGCCCCCCCCCCCCCCCGGATCTAGATCAGAGGTGGGCGATCTTACCTACAAAGGGCTGGTGTGTATGCAGGATTTTGGGATAACGTTTATGTCAGCTGTACAAAGCCATGTGTGAGGACTCTTCAGCCAATCAGTCCTCTAACTAGTAATTAGGGAGTTGCAGCTAAAACCCGAACACACTGTGGCCCTTTCTGGATAAGATTGCCCACCCCTGATCTAGAGAATGCTGCACTGTCTGGCTTCCTACTCCCTGCCTACTCCCTTCCTACTCCCTGCCTACCTGGAGTAGCTATCTGCGGAATCTGCCCATAACTCCCATCCAGTGGCTCTGAAGGGATGTCTCATTTTCAGTGTTGCCTCAGTTACCAGCATCCACTGTTCCTGGCCTTGGAGGAGGGCATCATGGTGCCTTCTGTTCTCCAGTTTTTACACTGTCAGATTTGAACTGGCCTGGTATTCCCTGCTTTGTTTCTAACAGACAAAGTGTGCTAACAGGTGCCGGTCCTGGGCTCCCCCCCCTTACAGATCAGAGGGTCTAGCTATCCACACAGGACCTGCTCTTGTATGTCCAGTGATGTAAGGTGGGGCCTTTCCCCATTACCGTATATATATATACAGTGGTACCTCGAAACTCGAACTTAATCCGTTCAGAACTCCAGATCGAATCCTAAAACGTTCGAGAACTGTTCGAATTTTCCCCATAAGAAATAATGGAAAACCAATTAATTGGTTCCTGGCCCCAAAAAATTACAATCCCTGGAGCAACAACCCCTGTCTTGATCTTTACCTTTTTACTCTGATCTACGCATTATTAGATTATTTTTGCCTGCTCTGGTTCTGATTTGGATTACTCATAGTTTTGGCTGCCAGATTGAAGTCCCTGATCATCACTATAGATCTGCCTCTGAGTCTTTTTCCCTGCACCTCATCACAGTCCCTTACAGCAGCACTTTTATTACATCAGATGCCCAGGCTCATTAACTCATCTGGGGGCCCTAGGCTGCCATCAGCGTGGACACTCAGGTGTTCTGTGCCACCTTTTCTGAGGCAGGTTGGGGCCCTGTGGTATGGCTAGGATAGCCTATGCATTCATTTGCCACTGTCGATGGCACAGGATGGTGGGAAGGGAACTGGCGTGCATGCTTGCCAAATCTTAGGTGCTACATACTCAGGTGACCCTGGCAGAGATTTCAAATTTCGTTTTACAGAATTCCAAAAGTACTCTGGGATATACAACAAATTCAATCCATTCTGAAAAGTCCACAATGCTTCCATACATTCCAGACGTTTCTGGAAGTTTATATTTGATAGTGGGTGGTGGGTTGAAAACTCAAAGAACCCCCACCCACCTTCACACAGGCCTGTTTGAGGGGCCAGACACCAACGCACACGGCAGAGGACACCGAGCATGAAATGGAAAGCAATTACAGCCTGAGAGCTTTTGCAGTTATGATTTTATTAAAGGGCTATTAACAGGACAAAGTTGAGAGAACGTTTTAATTTCCAGAAAAGTTAAAGTGAAGATGTGCTGATTGTTTAACTATAAGCATCCTTTTCAGACTTGGGCTTCCTTGGACCTGCTGAGGTCTGGAATGAATTGAAGCTTGGCTTTGCTGTTGAGGCAGACGCCTCCTCAGGGACGCCACGTAAGAGTTTCTCTGGAAGAAAACAAGCAAATGAAAAAACATCCTGCATTTTCAGTTTTGGCAGCTTCTTAAGGAAACAGCCAAACTTTTATTAGTCTACCATATTCATAGGTTCCCCCTGGCCTTTCATGAGTAAACATTTTGCAGGGTGTTCTGATCCTGGGCTACGGTGAGTAAGATAATTGTGCACACACTCAGCCAGACATGTCACAAGCCTGGGGAACTCGGGGCTGAGAGCTTAGTTCATTTGTTTTAAGAAGCTTCAGAAGCCTCGGAGAGATCAGGTCTCTGGGCTTAGCCCCAGATGTCTTAATATTCTAGCGACAGCCCTGCATTTAGCTAAGCCATAGAAGCACACTGTCCAAAAATCAGCAGCAGAAATACGCTCTGTGATGGGGAGCACCCTGTGTGCACCTGGAGTAACACAGAGCTGACGGTCAGAGTACTTTACCGGGTTGGGATAAAGAGCGCATAGCTATGGGCGGTGGGATAATCCCCACCTACCTGTGGAGGTGGTCAGGGCTGGTACATAGTCATGCCAGAAGGAGCACTCCTTTCTCCTCAAGCCTATTCGGGTTCTGAGGGGTGCATACAATTCTTTGTAGTTGTTCCCGTTAGCATGGGGCATGAATTTAGGCCATGGGGGTAGGACATCACCAAAGGACACCCTCGAGATGGAATGTGGGATGTTGGGATTTCTGGAGCAAAAGGAATAAGGCGTCAGCAGATTGGACGAGATCAGAAATCTCAGTGGGGTAAAGGGTCAGCACAGCCAATGGCCCCGTGGTTCACGAAGTGCTTCATCTTACCCAGACTTGATAAAGTTGGCCACGTAGTTCATAGTTTGGAGGGAAAGCTGCCTTTCCTCAGCGGTGAAGATCTCCTTTGTCTGTGGGTGATGCGGGAGTCCAAACAGAAACTGGATATCCAATGGCAATGACAAATCAGCACTAATAAAGTCATGGAAAAAAGACAAAAGCATGTATTATCCATGTATGTCTGTCTGTCCGTCTTCCAACTGCTCATCCTAGTGAGGGCCATGTATTATCTCAGAGCTAAAAAAGAAACAAATATTCTATTGTCTCCCTATCAATATTACAGTTCCCGGATTCCAGTGCAACTTGTTTGTCTGAAGGTAAAGAATAGCTGCTGCGCAAACAAAGCTTTAGAAGTGGAAAAATATGGACCATCTCAGGAGTCGATGTGTTTTGACAGATGGAATGAAACCCTCTCAGGGTTAGGCGATCCAAATAGATAATCACAGTCACAGGCATCCATAAACTTGCACAGAATTCATCATCTTCCACTATAAGCAAAGTGAGGGGATGGACACTAATGTGAAATCAACACTTTGTTTCCATTTGTTTCATATTTTGTTTTTGCAGGTGCACTAATAAGTAATGTATATAAATTCTGTTTCTTAATGCAACATAGTTCATTTACCCACTAAGGGACATTTTATGAAAATCTTCCCATAAATCATTGTTTTCTAACCCAAATACTTAAAAAATCTATGTGATCCCTAACTAGAGACCAGATTCTCTCCTCCCTCTGAACCACCTGATCCTCTAGTCCACTCTTTCTCAACCTGGCATCATGAAGATTGCGATGGTTAAGCGATGGTTAACCTTACCTATCAGGCAGATCATTCTAAGTATCTTGGGGTGCAGAGGTGTGCAAGTCACATCAGGTAACAACCGACGCCACCCAAGGCTCTGTCCTGGGCCTCATTAGTCAGCCTGATGGATTCTCCCACCACTACTACAATGATGACATCCAACTCTACCTGACAATCCCTCCTAAGGACACCACAGTCTCGATCTTCACATGCTGCACCAACATCGCAGCCTGGATTAGGGATCTTCACATCTAGCGGAACCTCTCAAAGACCAAGATTCCTCCCTGCCAGCCGAACCATTCACCAAGACATCACATGAATAGCTTGCTCATCAACATTCTCTCCATCAGTTTTTGCCAGGAAATTAGAACTAATAATAGATGACTAGCAATCCTTTGATGACATCATCACTGCGACCTCCCTGTCTCTTGGACCACCAGATCCTAGCCCATGCACTCAAATATACTCTTTACTAACAGGGCCTGTCAAACCGCTGCAGCTGATTCAGAATGTGACTAGATGTCTGGTATTCAATCAGTCAAAGTGCTCTCATGTTTATCCCTCACTATAGGTCAGTGGATTTTTTTTTGCAGTGCGACCCAGTTTTTACCATGCCAGCTCAGTCACGACCCTGTATCAAGTATAGGTAAAAATTAACGCTATAATCTAGCACGCAGCGCACATGGAAATTAGCGCCAATAAATGACTATCGCATAAAAGTGATTGGATGTGGCAGTGAATTTTATGCAGTTTGGCTTTTTGGATCAGTTGAGTGTTCACTAGTTTTGTGATAAGCATTTGCAGACCCAAGACCTATTCATACAGGTTAATTCGAGGACTGGGGCTGGGAAGTCTGATCGTGGATCAGCATAGGAGCTTGCTGGTTTTAAAATGCTTACATTTTACAAATCGCGACCTTCAGAACTTGCCGCGCCCCAAATTTGGGGTGCAAGAATCGCTGCTATAGATGCATGCAAGTTCAAGTCCATGGTGCTGGCTTTCAGAGTCATTAAAGGGGACTTATTATGCTTTTCTGGTTTTACCATTTCCTTTAGTGTGTTATATAGCTTAATTTGCATGTAAACAGTCTGCAAAGTCTTAAAGCCCAAAGTAGACGCCAAAGCGAGTAACTCTCACCGCAGAAACCACTCATCCCTAATCTGCCTGACCTTGTTGGAATTCCAGCCCTTATTTTCTGTGACATGGTGAGGTCGTCTTATAACACAACCCATATTGGCCGCCTGCCCACAAGTATCTGTCTGCAGACTGCAAGACATGTATGGAATGTGTAAGGCAAGCTGACCAATCAGAGCCCACTTGGCTCATTGGGGGATGGAGCTTAAAACTCAGAGCATTTCAGGCAGTTATTATAGACAGAGTAAATAGAGATGAACAGTACGAGAAAAAAATAATGTGTTTTGGAACAGTGAAGCATGTAATATATTCCAGTAGATCCCAATAATAAAACTGAAATGAAATAATCAGTGAAAATGAGCATAGCAGGTCCCATTTAGTGGAGCAGCATCTATCTCCGTGGTGTAAGCCATTCAGCATTTTCACACATCATCCAATAACTAACATTAAATATCTACTGTGCACAAGGCACAGACCTGCTTTTGGGTTTCGGGCTTAATCTGCCTCTAGGTTGACTTAACAGGGAACCAAACTGACTTAGTTCTTGTAGTCAAACAGGGTGTTGTTATTTTAAAAATTGAGTATGTTTTATGTTAAAATCATATCACCCAGATAAGGATCGAAAGTACCCTTCATGCAATGACTGCCTTTCTTTTTGGAACAATAAAACTGACACCAGACATCCTCTTATTGCCAAAACCAGAGGCAGGCAAAAATAACACATAACTCTGGTTCCCCTGGGAGTCAAACACACTTAACATCGAAAGTTGATACTCTTGCATAATATTGCTCCATTCCTTAAGACAGCCACAATATCATATTTTTATCAACATTGACAACAATGACTCTCTGCAGAGAATCTATGGGACACACCATCGTAAATAAGGGTTATACACAGTCAGCCTACTACTTACTGATGAACAGGCGGACAGACTGAAGGGTGTTTCCCATCAAAAAAACCCACCTGGTCTGGTCTGCCTTCTCAGGCAGGTGGTACATGAAGACGTTAGACCTTGTGTGGGCCGCCCAGAAGCTGGCCATCTTCACCGCAGGGCAGATGATGAACAGATCTCTGCAGAGAAGTGGAACGTTATTTGGAGTGACAGAGCGTCGCAGGGTTTGGCTATTTTTCAGACAATCAACTGTGATAGTCTAACACACCAATGAGCATCTAACGTCTGAGACGAATGGCGCTTGTTGGTCAAGGCATTCGGTATTAATCTCTCAGAAAGGCAGATTCTGGCATATTATGTGAGCTGTACCGGTATGTGATTATGATTTGAATACCGTCTTGGCAGCATGTGCCTGTAGGGGGTGCAGGGTGACCTTTAAAGCCCTCTCACATGTGAGCAGAATCATGCGGCAGCGGTACACCAGTGAGCACTATGACATCACCTCCATCTCCCCACTGCAGCCTCTAAGTAATAGTTTCCACTGGAGTTGAGGGACGCTGAAACCCGGAGTTGGCCTGCATTTCTCCAGAACGTAGCATATTTACGTAGAGGCCAATGCCAGCCAGAGCCTCTTTCAAACACTTCTTCAGAATCTTACAGCTTCAGAGCTTTCAAACATCACACCGGTTTTGTTTTCCTGCTTTTTTTCCGTAAAAGCTAGCTGAAAACACTTCAGGGCGCTGGCACATCGACAGCGCGCCAGCCTGGCAGACCTTCATGCCAGCCATACTGCTTCCATTAAACGAGTCCCAGCGCTAATGGAAGCTGGTTCTTCTGCGTGATCCTGCCACATCCATCAGGATTTGCGGCGTCCAAGCAATAGATCCATCGATAAGACCCATCGACAAGCAGCAAGGAACACAAGCGCATATACATTTTGGAACATTCCGGAGCGTGACTTGGGTGCCCATACCTCGTGGCGTTTTCTAAGGCCCGTGAGAAGACGTTGTAGCCAGCTGGGGAGGGGTCATGCTGCATGGAGTAGAACCACGTCGCTGCTTCTTTGACGAATGCGTTGGCGTCATCCCCCCCGAGGGAATCTGACAGAGCTTGATAGAAGACCGTCTTGCTGCTTGTTCTACCTTGCAGTTCTTCAAATTTCTGACCCAAAAGGAATTTTCACGCAATTTAGACAATAACATTAATAGGGATTTGAGTTTAAGACTCAGACATCTAATTAAATTATCCATCCATCCATCTTCATTTATACCCGTTTGTCCTATGCAGGGTCACAGGGACCCAGAAGGGACCCAGAAGCCACTTGCACAAAGCAGGGAATAACTCAGGATGATGAGACAGGAGAACATGCAAACTCAACACAAAGTGTCGAAGGCCGAAGCGGAGACTCGAACCCCTCACCACCATACTGCCCCAAGCTGAATTATGTCCCATAATGATTAAAATTGCAACTGCTACGGGGGGAGGATTTATTACAGAGGGCTGTAAAATAAATGTAATGGTGATTTTTACAATAAATTATTACCTTTGTAGAAAAGGAAACACCAAGATATTTTAATATTATGGGTGGCAAACAGAAATTCGAACAAAGGTTTACTAAATAGTACATGTCCCTCTAAAGGAGAAGACGATGCATGACTTGTATCAAACCCAAACCTGAAATGTACCACAGAGTTGAGTTAACAAATTCGAGGGAACTCTGCTGAAGGCATTCATCATAAAATACGTGTTTACATGGAACAGACTGGTGAGAAGCTGTTAATGTATTAATGTAGCCACCTTGATGTTTCTGGCTCTCCTGATCAGCCCGTCGTCCGCTGAAGACCCCACCATGAGGTCCACAGGGAGAAAGCGGCCGTTCTGGAGAGCCGAGGAGGGGCTTTCCTTTACAGATATCCCATCAAGCACTGGGGCCCAAGCTCTGAGAGGACCACTGACAGCCAGCAACTGCAGAAACACAGAACTGACGGTCATCCATATGGCAAAATGAAAACTGATTACTAATAATCATAAGTAGAAGTGAAAAGCCCCTTCAAAAGGGGATGGTCCTTCTGCGATTACTAATTATGTTCAAAAGGAAGAGACACCTTCAGAGGTCACTGCGCTTATGGAAATCTGCTGAAAACAGCTACGACATTCTGCGCTACACATTTCAGAGTTATGAAAGAAAGGCAACGGGACCCCAGTGTGGTGACTTTCTCCACAAAGTAAAACCGATAAAATGCACATATGTGTCATCGTTACTAAAAAATATGAGAAAAAAGTTTCCTAAACTATTCCTCACATATTCTAGTAATCCATCATCCTTGACTGAACAGATGAATAAATGAAGAAAAAAAAATGACACAACTGCCAAAACTATAAATAATCTATAAAATTGTTGAAATGGTTCCCCTGTGGCAGAAGTCACGAGCATTCGCCTGACGTGCAAGAGTGCATAAGCTCAGTTACATAAAAATCTTGAAATGCAATCGTGCGCCACATCCAGCCAGGGCCCGTGAGTTTCTGGAACAGGTCTGCGTAATCCACCGTGGTCCTTTGTAGGAAATTCCTCATTTTTCTCTAATCTTTCCTTCAGCAGTAGTTCCTTTTTAGTTATATGCATACCATCGGTGCAAGATTTCTAAAAACAAGCGTATATATAACTGTGCACTACATAAGCTCTCTTTGCACTTTGTCTTGTTTTGCACTGTCTGTCTGTTTCTCTCTGCTTTATGTATCTTGCCTCTGTATGCATAAGAATTTCCACCCTGGGATTAAAGTTTTATATAATCGTACAAATGTAAAACATCATCTCTAAGATATATATATATAGTTGTTTCGACTTTTACTATGAATCTGCACAATCCCTGTGTTTATTTAGCATAATTCCTCCCCCATGAATGGAACGGACATGTAAACCAGGTAGAGACAGCCGCACGCCGCAGGAAGGCGCCCCCTGCAGACCTACCTTGGTCTGGGCTGCGTTGAGGGCCTGGGCTGACAGCCTTCTCAGGCAGGACACCATCTGGGCCGCGTCAGAGTGGGAGCAGCCCAGCTCCTGGGCCAGGCTGGCCGCCTGCTGCCCGGCTCGGGGTCGGCTGATGGGGGAGGCTGGGGAGAAGGCTGAGCCGCCCTGGGACAGCGGAGAGGAAACAGCAGCACAAACTTTAATACTGATTAAAACAGGCAGCCACCCACTGCAATACTCATGCACTGAAATGCTGGATCCTAATGCACAGTTCAAAGTAAATATTTACAGAGCGGAGTATTGGGTCCATGATGTATCATTATCTACACATACAGCCTGGAAAACATTCACAAATTCCTTCTTCTACACTCACAGTCCGAACTCCCCAAAAATCAAACCTCCAATTTTTCATATTAAGTAAAGAAATTAATATAAATACTATATTTCTAAACTATTGCAGACATGTTTACTGAAGACCATTGTGTAAGTGTGCATGTAACGTATAACCCAAATAGCAGGCTGGGGTACACCACATGAACTGCATGTCTGCTGATCATTGTGTGACACAGGGGCAGCATGCAAACGCCACGTGGACAGAACACAAGCCGCCAACCACAGAGGCATGCAGCAAAAGTACTCCTCACTTCTTCCAAGCAGACCAGCTCCTGAACACCATGCTGCCCCTTCCACACTCGACTGTCTCCTTAACACCCTGCTCTGCTCTACATAACTCCCCTTCCACACTGGACTGTCTCCTTAACACCCTGCTCTGCCCTACGTAACTCCCCTTACACACTGGACTATCTCCTTAACACCCTGCTCTGCTCTACGTAACTCCCCTTACACACTGGACTGTCTCCTTAACACCCTGCTCTGCCCTACGTAACTCCCCTTACACCGAACAAATGTTTTATTCTCATTGCATACTTGCACACCTGTTCATATTTACACAATATAAATCGTACACGGAAATTGCATAGCCGTACACATCTACACTAACTAAACAGCCAGTATATTTGCACTGTTTCTCATCGTCTATAGCCTATTGTTGTATAATGTATATTGTATTGTCATAGCCTCCTGATGTGCCTCCCTCCCCCTTAAAAGTCCTTTTAGATTGTTTTACCTCATTTTTTGGGTATGTGTATATGTATATTTATTTCCTCCCCCTGCCCCTAATCCTCACTGTCGATCTGTGAGTGTGTCCTGCTGTGTTGTACGTTGCACCTTTGTTCCCTGGAGGACGTTATTTTGTTTCACTTTGTGCTTTACTGTATATGGTTGAGATGACAATGAAGCTCTACTGTTACTACTACTAGGCACTGCATGCTGATCAAATTTTACTTAGCAGATCACCAACATATGTTCCTTATAAGCAACTTAAAGTGATGATATAAATGAAGCCAACGGGTAATTTTACATGTTAAAATTTAACAACTGCCTATGAAATACACATTATACTTCAGTTACAGTCAAATGCACATTTTTGCCGAGATATTAAAATAAGCTGCACTTCCTGTTTGCTTCATTCGGGAAGTGGAAAGTTGTGGTCTGCTGCCGCTTCTCTATTCTGCCGAGACGCGGCGCGGCGTGGCGCTGCTTTCAGAGCCGCTGCGAACCTGCAGTGACTATGGGATGCGGCACGGTTAGCTGAGGTATCCACAGGCACGCCGGCGGCTCACAAGGCAGCCATGGGGAATGCGGAGGCAGGTGCCGCAGTGGCGGATAGCGCAGGCGGCACGGCCGAGACGGCCCCCCTGTGCGGAGGTAAGCAGCAAGGCAGGACGCTCACAGAACATGCCCGATTAGCCGAGAGTACTGAACTAATACTCCTAATACTCCGGCATCTGAGTCTACCTTTGTGTTTGTGCTTTGATCAGTTCATAGAGAAGCCTGCATTTACGTTATTTTAATCTTAATGTAAACATTAAGTGGTATCCAACAGAGGAAGCGGCATTTTTCAGATTTGACATTTGCTAAGAGAAATAAAATAGTGCGACTTTTGAACAAACTTTTGTTCAGTGGCCTCATGTGAAAGTGTTTTCTTTGAAAATGCATCGCAGCAGAGCAATCTGACACGTCTCACGAATCTCCCCATCCCAAAAAGAAAATGGCGTCCTGTTTGTGCTGGAAGACTATCCCCCTCCCAACCTTGCCGAGCCCATCTTCAAGACAGGGGAGAAGCTACAAGTTCTGTCCGAGTAAGAGTGGAAATTTCACAGCTCCCTGTGGCTTCTCGGGGCTCTGAGCTCGTTAACCTGGATTTCCACTCTGTCGCTTCTAGGCAAGACGGCTGGTTGCAAGTTCGTTGCCTAGAGAAGGAAGACTATATTCCAAAACACCACACCGGAAACATCTACAGGGGGTAAGTGGTAGGCAGTGAAATTTTAGCCCCACAAATGTGGCCAGGTTCTGCCCCGCTGAGGTCCCGACCCGCTGAGGTCTCGACCCGCTGAGGTGCTGACCCGCTGAGGTGCTGACCCGTTGGCCCTGCATGTCTTTCTAAGGTGGCTCTTCGAGGGCGTGAGCAGAGACAAAGCAGAAGAGCTGCTGGAGCTCCCAGGACACAGACCCGGCTCGTTTATGATCAGGAAGAGCTTAAGCAACACAGGTGAACAGCTGCTCATCTGCGGACTCAACATTCTGATTTAAAACATAGAAAATTAATTAACTCACTAATTAATTGACATTATTGCTCATTCCTGCAGGGATGTATTCACTATCAGTTTGGAATAATTCAGTGAAACATTACCGCATCTTCTGCCAGCCCAATAACAGCTACTACATTTTCCCTCGCATGTCCTTCCACTCCTTGGATGACTTAGTCGGCCACTATTCTGGTAAATGGTCTCTGTCAGCCACCGAGGTTTGATGTCGTGGGTTTTGCGAAGGTTTGAATAACAGCTCTCTAGCCTGTCCTGAGGCTTAGTGACTTTCTACCCTTACAGAATCTGCAGAGGGTCTGTGCTGCCCCCTCACCACGCCGTGTCTGGCCTCCAGCAGCAGGAGAGTCGATCCGTCCAGCCAGGCTCCCCCTGTGGTGATGCGGTGCAAGTTTGACTGGAAGAACGTTGACAGGTGAGACCGCGGCAGCACGAGCTAACAGGCTCCGCCGTCACTGACCTAAGCCAGACTTAATTATACAGATGGTGAGCCTACAGTCACATGTCATGCGTCTGCAGGTCAGGGTTCAAAAGCAGGAGCCTGCTGCTCTCTCCAGAAAGCAGAGACTCGGCGCTAAGCTTTGGGTTGAGAAGCAGCATGGCCACCTACGTTTCCCTGACGGGCCAGAACGGCAGAAGCAAGACAGCCAGCCAGAAAGCCAAGAGGGGACACCAGCTGGAGGAAGACGAGCTCATCGCCCTGACTGGCCAGGAGGACGGCTACCAACAGCCTTGTTAGACATACCGCTGGGTCCTGTACGTACCGCTGTTGATGTCTGTCCCCGTCTCTGTAAACAACTCGTAGTTTATGGTACGGGATACAAATTGAAAGGGTTGCAAGGTCATTGTCTGGTCAAAGCATCTTTTCGAAAGTTGTTTTTAGTTATTTTTCACGTAAAGCAAAAGAAAAACCATAAATCATGCAAACACAACGTCCAAACTGTAAATAATATATATATGTATTTATAAAATCGACATGTCAAAAAAACAAAAATAAAACAATTATGCTAAAAATGCAGAAGTGTACGACCTATGTTTGATACCAACATGAACTCCAAGGAAATGCAGCCACAGTGCAATTGCATTTCATCACAGGTCAATATCTGCATTTCCAATAATCTTTGATAGCTGGTCATTTTCACTTCACAGTACATTCTAACCTGCCAAGATCCGAAACCTTAAGACCTTTATTTGAGGTCTGATGGAAAAAAGAGCAAGACCTTCATCTTCCTCAATTTCCACGAAATTGTATCACCAGTAAAAAAGAATTAGGACCCCAGAGGAATCAAAAACACTGGCTTACCATGAGCAGGGCCCGGTGAAAGAGACCTGGGGAGCCGGCAGTGACGAGGTGCAAGCTGGCCACGTCTGCCCCACTGCCCTCTGCCCCCAGGGTCACGCTGCCGGGGTCACCTCCGAAATGAGCGATGTTCCTCTGGACCCATTTCAGAACGGCAGCCTGGTCCTGCAGGCCGTAGTTCCCAAGGGCGTCTGTGGAACCTGGAAGTATGGCGAAAGCAGTGAAAAGCACACAGCTGTGTCCGGGGAGGGGGGGGGGGGACATCGGCCCGCAGCTGGGAGCCAGCAAGGAGCCAGTCTACAGAAGCTTCTGGAAGTGCGGCTCTCACTGCCGTATTGCAGTACATCTGTGTTTGCATTACGGGACGCAAATATTTCTAAATAAGTATTACATAGTACATGATATCTCTGGAGTACCCAAACACAGATAAACAGATCCCCACAACAGAAGAGAGAGTTATTTGGGGTTAGCAAACTGAACACAAAAAGACAGCAGATTCTGCTTCAGCAGGGTCACGTATGTAGGTGACAATAGGTGATGTGTCTTCTGGTGTGACAAGGCTGAGAGATAGCAAGAAGACAAAGGAGCTTGTCATGTGACTACAGCCCACTCCAGGACACAAAGGGGCTTGTCATGTGACCACGGCCCCCCCCGAGACTCTCTACCCCCCGATCCGAAACGCCACATCCGAGCAGCAAAAGGCAGGCAGGCACCTGCAGTGAGGAATCCAAACACTGCAGTCCTGAAGCTGGCCGTCACCACGATAACGTCGCCAACGGCGGCAAGGAAAGAGCCATCCAGATACGGCGGGCCTTCGGAGCCGACATTAGTGGCAGGGTTGTGGAAGAAGACCAGGACGGAGGCGTTCGCTTTCTGGGGCGGGAGACAACCGCGTGGTCATGTGACCATGGGAATAACAGCAGTGCGGTTGCGGGCCGGTTGTAACTGCATGATGCAGACTCACGATGCTGACGGGGACGAAGATGTTCAGGTACAGACAGTCCTCGCTGAACCGAGCGGAGTCCCCGAGTCCTGGCTGCAGACAGCTGGGGCTACAGAAAAGCATAGGACAGGACAGCATGGTAGCGAGTGTGGAATTAATACGGTGCCCACCCTACCCCTCGGAAGACAGACAGACAGACAGACAGATAGACAGATAGATAGATAGATAGATAGA